GTCAACCAATCATGCACCGCGGTACCCCGTGTCATCTTACCTGCGGTACGTCTCTGGACCGCTCACTTTGAATGGCTGCATTTGTACCATAGCAGGTATAATTAAAGGTACATTAATTCTTTATTCTCTGGCACAACTTTTCTGGAAATAATCCAGGCACACTTGATTGAAAAAATATTAATGATGATAATATAAACACTATACTACACACATCAAAACATACAGGTTACTGTATGCGTACAGTATTTACAGACAATGTGTTTCAGAGGCCTAACATCCTAATCACCCTGAAAAACCCTAGACTTCTACTAGTATTAAACTCTTATTTTTAAACTATTAATACTTACAGCATTAAAGTCTTAAACTCTTAATGCTTATGGAGGCCAAATTTAGATATAAGCTGCTTTTCTAAATGAATGCAGTTAAATCTCTCTCTCTGCAAACCCATGTGCCATAACATAAATAGGAGCCTATCTTCTTATTCTACAAATGCACCCTATGCAGGAAACACATCTCTAACCGAGGTATCTTTTAACCAGGAAACCCAGGTTCCCTAAAACACAGAATAGCAAGCTCTCTCTAGCAATATTGAGATATTTAGCTCCATCAAGTTTTATTTGGACGATCATGAGGGGCTCTCCTCTGACACAATCTTTAAGTTCCAACTCCCCTGGTGTGGTCTGACCTTCTTTCTCTCTTTTTTCTTTATCTTCTTCTTATCCTGTTTCTGTGGTCTTAATGTGTTTATGTACTGCTCATTCACAAACATTGGCCCATGACTTAATTGCCTAGGTATCACAAGGTAAACTTTACAATTGTTTTTGATCAATGTTTTTGATCAGGGCATCCCCCATATCTCAGCAAACATCCCCTCTGTTTGGAATCAAGAAGTGTTTACTCTGCCAGGTTGCACAAACTTTATCTTAACTCTTCAAGACTCCTCTTAGTCACCTAAAGTTGTAACATAATATTTCTGAACACTTAATTCTGAGTGTAATAGCAAGCCTTGTTGCTACATCATTAACACTGTGCTGATGTATGGAAATGATTAGCCTTTGATATGCCTCTGTGGGATTGTTCCTCCACACATTCTATACAGCTTTTGTCAGAAGCTGAAGGTTGGCCAATCATGGTTGTTTCCTGCCGATGGTATTGGAAAGCTGATCCTAAAGACATTCTGATCTGAATAAAAGACTGGTCATGGCAAGACCGCTACATAGTAATCATAGTAGTGTGCAATCTTGCTTTGTCTGGCTTAAACTCCACCCTTCTGGACTGGCTTTCAGAAATGGGACAAAGGAACTCTGTCAAAGTGACATTGAGGAGTAAGTTTCAATTGCCCTCAATCACCAGTGATAATAAAATATTTTCACTGCGTGACTAGATGGCTTAAAATGGTCAACATGATACTCAAAATGCTTAGTGCACAAAAGCAGTCTGGTTTCAGGCAAACCGGTGTTAAATTTTCAGAAAAAATAACACATGAACTAAGGCTGGTGTTTCCATATTGGGGGAAACTTGATGACAGCTGCCCTGGTAGACCCTGGTACCCTAGGTCTCCATGCCATTTTATCAAGGCTTCATTTTGTCAGGATACAGTTACAGTTACAGCATTCAAAATGCTTAACGTACACTGCTTTTAAATGCGGTAGGCGTGGTTCATCAAACCACATTATACCACATGCAAATTAGATTATGATAATAGTAATTAGAAACACCTTGTAAGAACTTTTAAAACCGCCAGGTGGAGCTTATAAAGCTTAACATCTCATGTACAGCATTTGAGCTGTCGCCAGAAAATGCCCAGTTTCACTGCTGAGGCACAATCTTTTTCCAAATAAGAATTTAAGTTATATACTCTTTAGACTTTTACTGATTTTAAACTGTGTATTAAAGCATGTTAATCATTAAAAACATTAAAAAGTCAGTATATTTTGTAAAAGCAAGATTGCTCAGTAGGACAAAAGTACACAACCTTCCACCTTCGTCATAAATATTTTAATTTTGCAGAAATATTTCATGCTTCAAAGTCTCTACGGCTGATATTACTAATAATGAATGACCTTGGACAGGCTGTAAACTCAAAGGATTACCATGGACCACTTTTTTTGTAACCGTCT